CATAAGTATATGGGTTTTCAATCTATGAGCTACTAAAATGTTTTCTCACTCTAATCCCAAAACTACCTCATAGTTTATCATTGCTCTTAGTTGTTGCCCTTTATAATTTCCAACATCTTCTTCAATTGTTTCTATAACAGTAAACAGTAACCCAGCCTTGGGTCCTTTGTAGCCTAAAATTGTTTCAAAATATCTCGAAGGAATTACTAGGTTTGAAAATTCACGCTTCAAAAATATTTTAAACAATAAAATTTTAGATTTTCATAGAGGGTGTTATGAATTTTTTTAGTATGAAAGGATGGTTATATGAATGGAGGAAGAAAATAAATTGAAAAAAGGTGTCTAAATATATTTTTTATGTGTTTATATTAAAAGAAAATAGATTTATTAACTATTGAAAATTATTTTCTTGGATGTAAGTCACACCAAGTAGATTCTCTTGTCCAACATCTTTGAAAAAAATGAAAATAAAGAGAGAGAATCAAGGAATGAAGCAGGATGATAGGAGAACACAATTTTTTTTTGGAAGAGATAGAGAAGTTAAAAAAGGGTTAGAGAGAAACTGATTTATAGAATCCAAGTTTGAGTTGCATAGTGACTCATGCAAGCTAGCACTACCAACTTTTAACTAGTCTCTAATTTCAATAACTTGAAACATGTGCAATAAAAGATCATTTGACTTTATTAGGCTTGTAATATGGTCAAGTTAAATGTGGAATATGATAAAGGATTTTAAGTTATAAAACTAGAGGGAAAGTAGGAGCAATGGAAATGCGTTAAAAAAAGCATTAAAGTTATCCATGTAATAGAAAATTCTCTTTCATGTGTTTAAGTTTGTATTTACACTTAAGCACTTGATGTAAACTAGTACTATCAAATTTTGACTAGTCTCTAATTTCAACAACTTGAAACACATGCAATAAATATAAAGAAATAACTTTATTAAGCCAATAAGGTGACTAAGATAAAGGTGAGTTATGAGAAAATATTTTAGGCTATAAATCCATAGAAAAAAGAGAAGTAATGAAAAATGAGCTAAATAAGTATTAAAGTTATTTCATGTAAGATCTTTCTTTTCATTTCTCTTCTTTCTTTTTTGTTTTTTCTTTTTGTGAAGCTAATGTCAAACAACTTAACGGGCATCAAAATAACTCAAAACATTTACAAAACCTTGGAGTCTCACCCCCATCTTATTTAGAACTATTCTCAAAATAATTTCAAAACTCCTTTTGTGCCTAAGGTTAGAGTGCATCATGCTTTTTTCACTTTAAGTCTTGTAATGAGCTACAAAATCAAAGGAAGGGTTACATAGACTTAAAAGGGGTAATAAAGGGATAAATGCAAGATAAGTCAATTTCGCTAGTAGCTTATAAAGAAAGAAGACCTAAATCATTTCAATAATGCATGTAAAACAACAGGGATAAAAAAGAGTCAAGACAAAACCTAAAGTAATCAGCAACATGAATGCAATCACACAAGAAATGTTGTAACTCTCACAATTTATACATTTAAAAATTCAAAGGAAAGCATGAAAAAAAATTATGCAGAGTATAAAATAATTTTTTTTATATATATGTAGTAAAAAAACATAAAATTAAAAAATACAAAATACAACAAACAAAAACATTAAATTCTAAGTTGAAAACAACAAAAGTTTAACTAAAAACAAAAAATTCTTAATACTAAAAACACACCCCTAACACTTGAAATTTACATTGTCCTTAATTTATTTATGCACATAATCCAATGACAAAGACTAGTGCAAATTAAATTAATAGGAGGTAAAACTTTCTGAAAGTGGCTTAACTAAGGAGAGATTCTTCGCATCCTCCGCCACACTTCAAATTTGCATAATCATTGATGTGAACATAAAATGTTCCATATTTAGTATATAACCTTACTATAAAGATGACTAGAAAATAAATCAAAGGACTAACAAAGATCATTCTTCTTGGAGACACAAATCAAATGAAATCATAAAAATTCTATCAAACACAATTAAAGCACAAAATATTAACATGGATCTAATTGAAAAATCATAAATTAAAGATTTTAATCATTAGAATGAATTATAGCAATTGGACATATAATTCAAATTTAACATAAAACTTAAATTCAAGTATCATCTCATTAACAAGAATCTAAATTGAATGAAGATCTAGATCTAGATATGAGAATTTCACAAAAATGGAATTAACAATCACATATCCTAATTTTTAGAAATTCAAGAACGATACCTATTTATTTAGGAAATTAATCAATTACCTAATCCTTGTTTATATTAAATTAATAAATCCTAATCTAATTCAAATATAGATTCAAAAATACAATTCATAATAAAAAAATGAAATTATATCTAGAAAATAAGGGGAAAAGATGAAGAGTTCATACAAAACAATTAAATTGTAAACTCAAGTTTTAGTGCAAATATTGAAACCTCATATTGATTAACAAATTAGCCAAGTATCTCTATCAAGATGTACAACAAAACCAGAAAGAAAAATAGGAGAGAAGTTTGTGAGAGAGAATTGAGAGAAACTTCCAATGGAAGTTAGAGAGACATTTTAAAAATGAGGAGTTAATGTCACAACACAAATTAGTAACACTTATTTATTGACACCTAAGTTAGTAGGTCTAAATCTAATTAATTACAAGATCAACCCACTAATTACAAGACTAAGCTTCTAAGTTTTGCTCTTAACAAAAATTCTTGCACAAGTACAAAGGCACAAACTTCTCATGAATGTTTGGGCTTGAAAGCATCCAAATTGGCCTACTTGACTTGTGAAAACATGTTTCTAGAGTTTTGTCTTGACTTTCCAAGGAAACTAAGAACACCCAATTTCGAGTTTGATAGCTCTAGATAAGCCTTAAACAGGAAAATATATAAAAGTTAAAAAAATTACAAAAATTAACTAGAATTTAGAATTAATCTGAATAAAAATCACTAAAATGAATCACATCCAATGTATCAATTTAAGTCACTCATAATGTAGCATATAGGGACATTCATCAATTTGTTTGCACAACCAACACGACCATGTTATGATTAAGCATAGTCGTGTTAAGAAATGCACAAATATACAACCTACCAAGCACATGTGTACAATTGGTTTGTCACATCTTCTCTCATTTTTTTGAGCATGAACATGCTTCACCTAAGGATGATCATGCTCATGATCTCACCTCTTCGCTCATTTTTTGAGCACAAGCATGCTTCACCTAAGAATAATTGTGTTTGATTCCTCTTTTTTCTATTTTGAAAAAGGAGCATGACTTTAACACAACTATCTTACATAGCATGATTATGCTCCACTTGAGCATGATCATGGTTCCATTCAACACAGTCATGTTCAATTTAACACAGTCATGCTCTTAGAACAAAAGCCCCTTAAGTGTGAATCTTTGTTTAGTGAGTGACATTTTATAAGTTAATTCCAATTCTCATTATTAGGCTAATTATTCTAGTTTCACACATTCTAAAGCACTAAATACATTCAATACACCTTATATAATCAAATTCTGATAAATCATTAAATCAAAGGTTCATTACCCACAATAACACTAAAATGCATAAAATTGGGCAAGTTTAGACTTTAAAAACTCTAACCTATCACTTAATAGTCATAAACGAAAAAGGGATGCTAAAAAGTTAGATTGAAGGTTTTGGAGAGTCCTTTTTGATGTTTGAGAGAACAAGCAAAGGATGCATCAAGTGAAACTAAGAAAAGGGATTCAAAGTAGTAGGCTACGCTCTTCGCATTATAGATCATGTCATCAAGGTAATTAAAGGGAAGTGTGACTGTTTCGCCTTGTGTATCATTAGAATTATGAGTTAACTTATGAAAACTCCTTATTTTTATTTTAAAATCCCAAATTCATTTTAATTAACTTAAGCCAATAAAATAATTAAATAGTATATTCATTATAGAATATGGTTTAGATCACAAGTCAATCTTACAAAACAAGCTTATAAGGTGAGAATTGCTCTTCACTTATAAATACTATTATGGTCATACCACTAGTCGATATGAGGTCTTCAACACACACCCTTCATGTTGAGGACTAGACATCTCGAACATGATGTTTGGTTACAAAATTAGCTTATAAGGTGAGGATTAATGTTCTTCACTTATAAATACTAGTACGGTCATACCACTAGTCAATGTGAAATTCTAACAAACACTCCTCACATCGAGGACTAAAAATCTCGAACATAAAGTTTGCAATAATAGACATTTGTGAGTGTTTCGATAATGACTTGATAGTAGATGACTTGATAAACTTAACAATAAGAATCACAAAGAGTTTGATACTATTATAAGAAAGTGAATTGGAATTTAACTCAACTTAACAAAGCTAACTTAATTATAAGCCGATGATTATGTCTACTTATAAACACTAATATAATCATATTACTAGTCAATATAGAATTTTCAACATATATTTTTTCAAAATCAAAATGTTACATCACAAAGAAGAAGATATTAACATGATTTGTATGATTTTGTAACTTGCTATTTATATATTATAAATAAATTGAACTACCAATTTACATAAGAGAGCCACTATATGATATGAAAGTTTAATGCACGAAATAGTACGAAATCATGTAAAAAAATGTTTTATTGAATAATCAATAAAATAAAAGAAAAAATATAAAGTGGTTTAGGTGATGTTGGGGAGCGACATAAAACAGGAATGATAAAAAGAAAGTGGATTCCAATCCTCTCAACTACAATAACTTACTAATTACTAACATTTATTAATATAAAATATATAATTTTGAAAAGAAACGAAAACAACATTATTTCATCCATAATTTTATTTGCACTGTATTTGGATAAATCATTTTAACGAAGTAATTTATTTATTTAAAAAAATTAAAATACTCCTCCCTGAAATGAGTTGTTTAGATAAGTAATTTTAAAAGGATCGTAAATTCTCTCATTTTAATGAAGCATTTTAATCGACTAAATTAGAATAATTTGAAATACCACTAAAAAGCAAAGAAATTGAAATTTCTCGCTCTGTGCTTCTTCGACACACGTTGCGTCGACGTGCACGCAAATCTCAGCCACTCACTTGTAACACTTACTCTCCTTTTCCTTTCTTCTCTTTTAAATATAGGGTTCCATTTTATTTTTTATTGGATTCGCTATTGATCTAGGGTTTCACTTTCAATTTCATGTTTGATTTCACTGACTTTGTGTGTAGATAGATTCAATTGTTTCATATTAGCATTTAATAGATATTTTATTACATTGATTATAGTAGTAAAATTTGAATGAGTAATTATGGATTTCGGTAAAAGGAAAAAATTGTAAATATGGATTTTGGTAAAAGGAAATAATTGTAAGAAATGATGTACATTCGATTTGAATGGGGATGACATGCCTAGCTTTGAAGAATTCATAATTACGATGAAGTGATGTGAAATCTCTTTTGCTTTTAATTAAAAAAGTTTTGATTTTGAATGCTTTTCTCATCTGGATTTTGTTTGGGGTATGAGAAAGTAGAATGTATGTGTGGAAGTTTGAAGTTTCATGATATGAGAACGGGTGCAAAAGTCTGAACGAAGAACAAATTATATGGTTCAATTTAGATTGTTGATTGATTTGGGAATAAGTTATATGGTTCTTTGAAAGTTTGAAGTTTCATGGCAGGGTACCATGAATTTTTTGTTCCTTTGTTTTATTTATGAATTGTTAGCCAATTAAATTAGAGGGTTAGAATTGGGGTTTGTCCAAATCTAATTTTGCATCTGTAGGAGTTTTGAATTTGGATGCTTAATATGTGTGGATTTGTTTTCTTCAAAGCTTTTTGGTTTTGCATTCTTTAGAGCTGGTTGTTGTTCCCTTCATAGTGGTCAAGTAAGAACCAATGATAACTTGATCCATCCTATTTGTAATTAGTCTCCATTGAGTTTATTTTTCGGATTAAGAATAACTAAGATGCAGAAAGCATGATAGATTATGTTGTGAACTTGCAATGGACTTAAGATTGCGATCTTCTATGTTTGTTGTCTAGATTTATCATGGATGAATCCAGATGGCAATAAAGGATTCAAGATTCACATTAGCAATGTTAGTGCTTACAAGATTGACAGGTTGTAATAGTTAAAGGAATCAGTTGCTCATATAACTAGCACTAACTTGTTCTTAAAACTAAGTTGGACAGACAAGTTCATTTGGATAAACTAAAAGTCAGTGTAGCTTTATTCATTGAACCATATTGGGGGTGTATTTGAATGCCAAGTCAATAACATTTTTTTTTTGTTATAACCAAGTCAAGAATTATGAGTAGCGTGGAACTGGATGATGGTTGTAGTGTTATGCTAAAATAAAAAAGCCGTTTGTCACTAGCAGGTCTCTAGCTCATTGAAATGGGTTTCCAATGCTAGTGGCCGCACCAAATGATTATGTCAACTAGAGAATTAAATCACAAAAGTATTTGAATCCTCCAAATGTAACTTTTGTGCAAAAAAAAAAAGTGTTATATTATATTATATTATATATCCTTTAAAATGAATGAGATTGTAAAAATAAAAAGTTCGATGAGATCAAAATATATGTTTTGGATAATGTTGTTAAATTGTTGTTGGAGAGACCAACCCTATGTTACTAACACTATATATACTGCAATTATTATAAATGTTACTTATTTTTATTTTTTTATATTTTTTATTTATGAGGAGGTATAAATTGAGAAAAAATAGATGTTAACATAGTTAATACTAGAATTACTTCGAAAAAACATAAAAGAGAAGATTAAAAAAGATAATACTAAAATTACTTCAAAAATAAAAGATCTATTATTATATTAGCTAATTTCTTTTTAATAGCTACTATAAAATATACTTATTTATTTATAATACAGAAATAGATTGGATAAGATAAAGATCTACTACTATATTAGCCTATTCTTTTTTAATAGCTATTATAAAATATACTTCTTTATTTGTAATGCAAAAATGGATCGAGGCTAAAATATTTGTAAAATATGCGTGTGGAGGTTTAGGTGGCTAACGTAGTAGAATAAATATCCTTGTTTTGTTTCTCTGTTTCTAGTTATCATCATATCATTTATTAGTTAACTATTATTGCTAATGTATATTGAACTACAATGAATTTATATCTAGTAAAAACTAGGCATATATAATATATTTGAAATTATTTTATATTCCATTTTAATTACTTTAGTTTTTTCTCACTTATATTAGTTTCATAGGGTGTAGATTGAGAAGAAATGGATGTTAGCATAATTAATACCAGAATTACTTCAAGAAAACGTAAGAGAGAAGAGTTTAAGGAGATAATCATATTTGTTGTTGCTTGCGTGGTTTATATGCTTATGGGTGCAGTAGCATGGTACCATAATTATTTTGTCAAGGAACTAGCTCATAATTGAGAACTAGAGTAACATAGATTCCTTAACCATCTTTATAGAGGGGCAGAAAAAGATTGTATTGAACACTTAAGGCTCAGTAAGAGTGCATTTTCAAGCTTTGTAGAATTTTATAAAATAAAAAAAAAAGAGGGGTTAGTAAGAATAAAAAATGTTTCAATAACTAAAGCAGTGGCAATGTTTTTACATATCCTTTCTCACAACCTAAAGTATAGAGTAATGCACTTTAGTTCCTATAGATCTAAAGAAATAATAAGCAGGCAATTTAATAATATCTTAAGAGCTGTAATGAAAGTGAGTCGGGATTATTTGAAGTTTCATACCTATCTAGAAGGTCCAAGTGAAAATAAATGGAGATGGTTTGAGGTAAGTTTATCAATTGTAAGGCTAGTCAAACTTACGATAAACATTTTTTAAAAACTAAATATATAAATAAACTTGTGTTGTTTGTAGAAATGTGCTGGAGCACTTGATGAGACACATATTCTGGTAACAGTTTCTCTTAAAGATAGGCCTAAATATCGTAATAGAAATGGTGATATCCTACAAGTATGTTAGTAGCTTGTGGTCTAGATTTAAGGTTTATTTATGCGTTACCTGGGTGGGAAGGGTCAGTAGGAGATTCTTGAGTATTATGAGATATGCTTTATGTTGTCAAAATAAACTTGAAATTCCAGGTGGTAATATCATGTACAAAATATTTTATTTAATTTTTATCTAGTTCTAGGTTGTGATTTTCATTTTTAAAAATTATAGGTAAGTACTTTCTTATGGATGCGGGATATACCAATAGTCCATGATTCTTAGCACCATATCAAGGGATTAGATATCATCTAAATGACCCCTCAAAATTTCAAGGAGTTATTTAATCTTCGTCATTCAAGTGCGCGAAATGCAATAAAAAGGTATTTTGGAATATTGAAAGAAAGATGGAGCATATTAAGAACTACTTCAATTTTTTATATAAAGATACAAATAAGAATTATTAATGATTGTTTTGTGTTACACAATTTAATAAGGGACAAGCAACAAATTGATCAACTTTTAGAGGTTCAAGACTTGGAGCTCTTATCTATTGTTGATGAGGAGCTAACCAACCAATGGAGAGAAAGAGTTCAAAACAATGTCATAGATAAGGTTGCAACTATTTAAGTTATTGAGAAATGGACAAGATTTCGAGATGCATTAGCAATGAGTATGTTTGCTAACTACCAAGTTAGAAGAAACATTGGTTAGGGGTAGTCTTTTCTTTTTTGATGTGATTTTCTGTTGAAGAAAGACTTTTTTATGTACGTGATGGACTTTTATGTACTAGATTGAAGAAAACTTTGTTTGAAATATTGTTTTTTTGATAGCTTCCATTTGTTTACAAAAGAAATATTTACATGATCTAGAATTATGCATTGGATTGATCAAGTTAATTTGTAGTTTAATAGGTGTTATTAACTTCAACGGAGTCATCCAAAGAGAGAACTTAAAGGGAAAATGAAAGATGACAGAAAGAAATAACGAGGAAACAATAAGTTATTTCACATGGAATTTGGAGATAGAACGTGTATTAACTGATGTATTACGAAATCAAAGAAGTTTGGGAAACAAGAGTGATGGAGCTTAGAAAAAGGGTAGCATACAATGTTATAGCCCTAGTGTTATCTACCAACTTCAAAATCCAGGTCACTTGGGAGAATGTAAAAAATTATATCAAACTTTGGAGATCATGGTATAGAGTTGTTAGTGACATCCTTAATCAAAGTAGATTTGATTGGGACAACACAAAACACATGATTACAATTGACAATGAAAATGCTTGGAATGAGTATGTCAATCTAAGTGATTTTATATTATCATTATTTAAAGCAATGTAAATATATTTTTTTTCTATTATTGATTGTTTCTTTTGTTTTCAAGGCCCATAAAGAAACATGACAATTTCAATTCAAGGTGATTGCAAACTAGGTTGATATAGTGGACTTATGTGCTAAAGATAAAGTCACTAGACATGGAGTTGAGACTTTTATGGATGTTGATGAGGTCATGAGTAGAGAAATAAATAAAGGGGAATTAAGTTTAAAGGGTGCTAGTGATACCATATAGTTAGATGAATCTGGCTTTACTACATAAAGAAGGGGTCAATCTTTAGCTTCTACTAGCACATAATTTCAGAGGAGAAAGACATGAGAAAAGATGGAATAACTAATTCATTGAAAGAAATGGTTGAATCTTTAAAACGACTTTTTCAAGCATTTGATATTGTCATTGATGAAGATGTTTTTATTCAAGAAGTGTTAGCTGAGGCAGCTTTAATACCAAACCTTAATCAACATCAGTGGGTCAAAGTTGTTAAATGGTTATCTGACACTCCAAAACAATTTGCCATTGTAAAAGCCCTTCCAATTGAGAAAACGGCAGCGTATGTTTTAACATATATTTTTTTATGTAATTTTTTTTCATAACTTCTTAATTTTAATTAATTTGTTTGGTTAGTGCAATTTAACTTTCTTTTTCAAGTATTTTGTATGATTCAAGTTTAGAGCTTTTATGTATTACATGAATACTTGAAAGTTACCATTAGGTTAGTTACTTTATAAATTTTGTAATTAGCTCGCATAGTTGTTGTTCATGGATAATATTTCTGACAACTTTCTCATTTTTATAATGGGTCTCATGCTGACAACCTATTCTACCTTTTTAGTTGTTCATGGATAATGAAGTGTAAAGAAAAATTTCTTATTTAGCTTCCTTTCTTTGTCTTTATTTTATTGTATTTTTGTTTTGGATTAATACCTTATTTAAGATGATTATAGTTCTAGTATTACTTTAACATACATTTATTGTAGTTTATCATATCGCATATACTTGTGTAAATTTTTAAGTGCGATAACAAAAAGGCTTGTTACTTAAGTTTTGATCTTTGGTCTTATTATAATTGTTATTTGGTTTTATTTTTTATAGGCTTTGTAACTATGAGGAGGTGAAAATCTTTATTCTTAAAGTTGTGTTCTTAATATATTTAACAAACTATCTTATATTTTTGTTATCTTGATATGAGCGTACATACATTTGAAATTTCATTAGTGTTTATTTTAAATTCATGAGATATTGTAATTTTGAATCATCTATACTCAAAGTTAAGGATTTTTATTATTATTTTTCTTAGTTTAAAATGAATTTATTTTGTATCGTGAATCAATGTATTAATTGTTTTGTGAATGTTAACGATGTTTTGAAGTTGTGAATTTAAAATGTTTTGTAAATTTATATAAAAAAATTAATTAAATATAATGTCTAGTATTATTCTTGAATTATTTAAAATTTTCTAATACTAAAATTAATTTCCAATTATTAAATATATTTTAATAAAATTTAATATTAAAACTTTAATTTTTTAATAAATATTTAAAAATAAAAATTTTCTTAGTAGAAATTGAAATACTCTATCCAAATAAGATAGTTGAAATATAAAAGATTAAAAAATACTCTATCCAAACAAAATATTTATATATAAAAAAAAGAAGAAATTAATCAAGAATAATTCAAATTCTAAAAATTTAAATTTCTTAAATTACTAAATGACTTATCCAACCAGAGCACTCATTAATTTCCTTCTACCACCAAACACTCAATATAATGGGCCGATAAAGAAACCAACCATTAACGACCCAGAAAAGAAAACCAGCAACAAATTTAAAACTATGACACCATCATATCCATCTCATAACATAATGTCAACATCTCCCCCTAAACCATTGTCATAAGTTCAAATTTAATTAACGTGATCGTAATTTCAATGAGTTGTAAAACTCGTATAACAAATTCAATTATTATGGATAGAAGGTATCGTCGTGCCTACTTATTAAACTTAAGCAGGGTCATACTAAGTATAGATACTAGATAAAATATCAATCCCAAAATTTCATATATGTAACATACACATGTGTGTGCATACAACATATAAAAATAAATAAATAATTGAAAGTAATAACCTTCAATTTGCTACTAGTAGTGCATACTTCATATACATACATATGGGTCAACTTGAATAAATTTCTGCAATAAATTAAATTTCTTTACAAGTTAAAATCAAGATCATAACTTGATTTCAACTTACTAAAGAAATTTAATTAATTTAACTTGCTTATTGTATTTGCTATAAGTATTTGGTGAGAAATTTATTCAAATCAACCCATGTAGAGTCGGTGCCCTCTTCCAAGTAATGAAAGTAGGAAAAGCTACTTCTGAGTGCTTCTAATGGACATGGAATGAAAGATGGTTGTAATTATGTTCTAGAGCATATCAAAGCTCAAAAGTTGGTATTGAAGTTGTGCATTTAGTGGGTCCATGGAGGATTTGGAATGCAAGTGATCATGGGTGTAATAATCAGGCTTCAACCATGTAGAGTGGGGCAAATAGGCCTCGTCCTCACAACTCCAATATTGTTGTGCACTTATTGTGCCCTTCTTGTGAAGACCCTCATTATCATGAGCACCATAATCAGCTTCCACGAACATTTCAGCAACGTTGGAGGTTTGGCCCGTGAGTTCCTGCACGAGTGCTCTGAAGTTGGAGGCACTAGTCTCCACCTTCACGGGGCTTGAGATATAAGTGACTTTGAGGTCCCTTTTGTGGTTCCTTTTGCTCTGCCCTTTTGCCTTCATCAAAACGTGGTTGTTAACGCTAAGCATGATGTTTTATGATGATTGATACACAATTGGTTTACTTTAGTTTGTGCAATAGAAGGGTGATGGGTATAATTAAAAAGGTGCACACGAGGTGGCCATGTATTTATACGAGGAGGGTAAGATGTGATAAACATAGGGGCGATGTATCATCTAGGTGAATTTCCGGGATAGTGATTATGGCTTGAAAAATTGAAGGACTAGAAATAGAGGTGTTGATGGTGGAAAGGGAAGGTTGTTAGAAACTGCGGGGTTGAGAATAAGTTCCATTGGGGTGCGTAATTAAGTCCTATAGATATTATTATTATGATAGTGATGTGTGTTATAATTAATATTTTAATTTACTTTAGTTTTATAATATTAAAATTTAATTTATAAATATCTTAAAAAAAATTGGTCAAAAAAATTAAAAAAAGAAAAGATCATTTAAAATAATGGTTGATATTTAAATATTTAGTATATAGGTGTGGATGAAGGGTAGGTTGTGAGCAGCCAGGGAGGACTTGAAAAGTTGGAGCGAGAAGGAAGGAAGCGATGATATCTAGAAGTTCTTAATTGGATGTCTCCATCAGTGATAAGATGAAAGCATATACATCTGATATTTTCTTGGCACTTAAGGCAGATATACCGTATGAGGCTATGAGCTCTCTCGTCATTCTCTTGTTTCTCCAAAGGGAAGAATGACGTGTTTTCAACTATTTTTCATTGCCAAAAAGATACATCTCCCAAAAGACTTCCGAAAATTATTCCGAATAAATTAAATATTAATTTAAATTTATAAAATATTAAATTAAATAATTATTTTATAATAAAATTATTATAAAATATTAATATTTTAACATTTTGGAATGTGATTCGGAAACTGTTTTTGAAGGATGAAACATTGCTCTTTTCATTGAGGTGGGTATTCAGGCCAGCTTCGTTCAAGACACCATTATTAAGATTCGTATTTTTAATGAGTTGAATAAATTTGGTTTATAAAATAAATGGTTTTTTTTATGACCTGAATTATGATATTCTATTTTTTTATAAAGATAATATAAGTATTTAATAAATATATTTTTTGATATTTTTATTTTAATAAATATTATTGATATTTATTTTAATTATTTGACATGTTTTAAAATATACTATAAGATGTTTTAATTAAATATTATATTTCATTAATTGAGGGGAAAAAATTAGTAACTGTAATTAAGTAAGTTTTGACTAAGAGTTCAAGAATGGGAAATTAAGTGTTTTTTTATTTTATAAAAAAGAAGTTTCTAATCAACGGTCATTTTATGCATTCATCTTTTTTTTTGCTTATCAAGGTAAGGTTGTGAGAAATCTTACTCTAGGATGTAGGTTTGTATGCTGAATAGTGGGATTGGTCCACAATCTTATTTCTATTATTTGTTTGTATATGAAATTTTTTTCCCAAATACATATGTTTTGTCTCTTATTCTTCTTACATGTTCTTAATGACATGAATTGTTTGAATGTATGATTCATTCCATGTTTTGACATGTAATTGTATGATTTGAGGTCTTTGTAGGTTTCTAACAAAAACCTTAAGAGAGTGTATTTTGATAGTTATGTGAAAATACTTGTTAATATATGTAAATTGCATGTTTTAGAATGTTAATTACATGTTTTATAACACTTTGACCAATTGAATTGTGAGTTTTGATGAATTGGTGTATGACTCGTAACTCAGCATTTTTATGATATGTGTTGTTTCTAATATAGTGCTAAGTGCTACTTGAGGCGTGCTAGTCTTTGTTGAGGCCGAGAGCAAAGATTGGTCTTGAGGTCTCTTATGTCAGGTATGGGATGACCCTTGTTGGGTGCAAAAGCTCCAGGGGCTCCCTATGAAGCTTCTACTAGGTATGAGATGACTCAAGTCGAGCATGAACACTCTAGAGACCTCTTGGTGGTATTCTCATCGAGCACGAGTTCGATCACGCTGGGTGCGATCCAAACAGAGACCAATGTGGATCTCTAGATGACTCGCATCGAGCGCGAGGGCACGTGTTGTTGGGCATTGTCCTTCCTATGAACCTTCTATTGATTTCCATGTTGTAACTCCTGTATTGTGGTACTGATGTGAATGTAAATTGATATCTATATATGAATATATGAACATGCATGATGAATAGTATGGTATGAAAAATATGTGAAATGTCAAACTATGAGGTCATGTGAATGTAATGTATTAAGTTTGTTTGACATATGCATCATTTGCATAAAATGTGTTTTTGGGTACCATGTGGAATACATTGTTATGAAAGACCCTTTGTGTAAGTATTTGGGAACCAACCTTAAGTATGAGTCGGTTTGGGAAGTCTTAGTCCTATTCTCATGTGCAAGAGATGTATCTTGTACGATTAGCTATCCTGACTAGACCCTAATAATATGTCTTCCTAGTGAGAGCGCACAAAAAGTGTGATTTAATAGTTTTTAAACTTTAAAAAGTTTACAAACTTGATCTATGCATCGAGAACTTTTAATTTAATAGTTGGATTGTTGACATTTGATATAAAATGAGTTATTAATTGAAATAAGTTTATCAAAACTTACTCTCAGAATAAATAAATCTGTCATTATATCTAAAATATATAATAAGTTATATATTAAATTTATGATAATAATTTATATTATTTTACTTTAATTATTAATAATTCATTTTAAAAATATTAAAATTTAATATATAAATATCTAAAACAAATTTGGTCAAAATTTTTTAAAAAATACTCATTTAAAATAATCGTTGATATTTAAATATTTAGTATATAGGTGTGGATGAAGGGCAGGTTATGAGCAGCCAGGTAGGACTTGGAAACTTGGAGCGAGAAGCAAGGAAGTGATGATATCTAGAAGTTCTTAATTGGATACTATTGAAATTGATGTCCCCATCAGCCATAAGATGAAACCACATATATGTGATATTTTCTTGGGACACAAGGCAGATATACCGTATGTGCTGTGTCGTCATTCTCTTGTTTCTCCAAAAGGAAGAATGACTTGTCTTCAAGTATTTTTCATTTGGTGTATACAAGGCTAGCTTGGTTCAAGGCCCCTCCAGTGAGACTCGTATTTTTAATGAAATGAAATAAATGATTTTTTTTTAATATGAGTTATGTTATGATATTCTATTTTTATAAAGAAAATATAAGTATTTAATAAATACTTTTTGGTATTTTTGTTTTAATAAATAGAGTTGTGTTGATATTTATTTTAATTATTTGACATATTTTGAAATATAATTAAAATATTTTAATTAAATATTTTATATGATTAATCGTGGAAAGGAAATTAGTAACTGTAATTAAATAAGTTTTAACTAAGCATTAAGTGAATGAAATTATGAAAATTGTTTTTTTTTATATATAAAAAGATAGTTTCTAATCATTGGTCATTTTACACATCCATCTTCTTCTGCTTACCAATATAATGGGGAGTGAAAAATCTTATTCTAGGATATGGGTTTTTATATTGGATAGTAGAATTGGTCCCCAATCCTATCTCTAGTATTTACTTGTGTATGAATTTTTTTCCCAAATACGTATATTTTGTCTCTTGTTCTTCTTACATGTTCCTAATGACATCAATTATTTGAATGTATGATTAATTCCATGTTTTGGTTCGTAATTATATGATCTAAGGTCCTTGTAGGTTCCCGTGGGAAACCTTAGGAGTGTATTTTGATAATTGTGTGAAAATACTTGTTAATATATGTAAATTGCATGTTTTGGAACGTTAATTACATGTTTTAGAACACTTTGACTGATTGAATGATGAGTTTTGATGAATTTGTGTATGAATTGTAACTTAGCATTTTTCTGATATGTGTTGTTTCTAATACAGCTAGGTGCTACTTGAGACATGTTGGTCGTCGTTGAGGGTGAGAGTAAAGATTGCTCTCGAGGTCTCTTACGTCGGGTATGAGATGACCCTCACTAGATACAAAAGCTCCAAGGGCTCCTTATGAAGCTTCTGCTAGGCATGAGATGACGTAAGTCGAGTGTGAATACTTTAAATACCTCTTGGTGGTATTCTCTTCGAGCGTGAGCTTGATCACGTCGGGTGCGATCCAAATAGAGACCAATGTAGATCTTTAGATGACTCGTGCTAGGCACAAGGCATGTGTTATTGGGCGTTGTCCTGCCTACAAACCTTTTATTGATTTCCATCTTGTAACTCTTGTATTGTGTTGGGATACAAACAAGTCTCACATCGATAAAATAAGACAAGAAATAATAACTTATATAGTACAAACATACTTCAATGATTGAGAGACCTTTTGGGTGATGACCAAAAGAAAAACCGTGTCCCTCAGACAAATACCAATAAAATAACCCCATCATATTGTGATGTTGATATGAGTGTTATTTGATATCTATATATGAATATATGAACATGAATGATGAATAATGTGATGTGAGAAATATGTGAAATGTCAAACTATGAGGTCACGTGAATGTGATGCATTGAGTCTGTTTGACATGAATCATTTACATAAAATGTGTTTTTGGGGTATGATATAGGATACACTATTAAGAAAGGCCCTTTGTGTAAGTGCTTAGGAATCAACATTGGGTATAAGTCAATTCGAGAAGTCCTAGTCCTACTCTCGTGTGCATGAGAAGTATCTTGTGTGACTTAGCTATTCTGACTAGACCTTAGTAGTATGTTCTCCTAGTGAGAGTGCATGGAAGGTATGACCTGACATGTACTCCTAGGCTACTCTACATGTATTGCTAGTGGTAATGTACAAGTGTAGCGTTTTTACTTGCATCACATGCATGATAATATGTAGTTTGTGTCCATTGCATAATGCATTATAATGTTATTTGTTATTGTTTATTAGGTTATAAATGAATCAAGTGTGATGATAATATTTATCTGTGTATGTTATGTCTTGTTGTATGCTTGTTAGTGTTTAGCTATACAGTGACATTCCTTCACTGTGGGTCAGAGTGAGATGTTTCTTACTCCCTTATTTTGTTTGTTGTTGTTGTTTTTGTGGTTTCTACAGGTGATCATCAGCATGGTACCGAAGATATTGATGATGAGACTTAAACTTCATGATGGGTTGCTCTGATAGAATATGCGACATCAAGGTGTAATTAAGACAAGTTTAGAAGTAATTGTTTCATATTATTAAATTTGAGAGCTTTGATTTTAATGTCTTTGTAATTTTGTTACTTCCATTAAGTTAGTTTATGTCAACAATATGATTCTCTCTAC